GAGTTGGGTTTTGTTTTTTTAATTTCCTTTTGCTTTTACATTTTTTACTGCCCTGTGTTTATTTCAGCCCAGTCACTGCTGGTTCTGCCCATTTTAGTGCAGCTTCCTTGGTAATTCGCAGCAGCTGGCTTGTGGTTCCTGCCCATCTACATTCCCCATAGGCTTTTTAATCCTCTGTAGAATATGAAATTTCATGGAACTGGACCTAAGCTACCAATTATTTTTTTAGTCTTCTCCCTCCCCCCCCCCATTATTTCCTTAGTAGGTTTGGGTTTGGGAGGGCCATATAGGGTCGCTGGAGAAGCGTCCCTTTGTCAGCTGGAAACTGTTCAGTCCTATTACAATACGTGTTCAACCAATCCAGTGACCGTGTGTATTGGCAGATCCTGATATGACGTGAGTTGTCGTCGCCTTGTTTGTGAGAGACCCGAAATCCCGGGCTCCAGGCATTGGAACCTCTTTTTGTGTGTCTTGCTGGAAAGGGGGCAGGAGTAGTGAGGGGGTCCCACAGTTCCCCAGGGAGGGGATGGAAAGAGCAAGACACGGCCCTTTGTGTTAACCCCACGGTTCTGTGCGTGCAAGCGCCATCCTGTCACCTCTCACCAGTGGAGTGCGTCAGAGCATTGACAAAGGCAAGGAGCACAAGCCCAGCTGATCCACAGCAGAGCTGGACCATCTCGCTTTGGAAGCAGGGTACTGCAGGGAAGGGGAGGGGAGTACACATGGCTTCAGAGGTTGGGTGTATCTATAATTTCTGCTATCCTGCAAATGTTAAGAGTCACTAGAATATTGTACTTTCCGCTACTTCAGGATGTTCTAATGAACCAATGTGGCAAGACTACTGGACTTAATTTAATGGTACTATATATTAATACTCCTTATTATATCACGCTTGCACTAAAGATGGGGAGTGAGCAGCCCTCTTTTGAGTGCATTGAGTTATGAATAAAGGTGGTGGAAGGGTATCTAATTGTATTATCACATGTATTCCGAATGTTAAGAATCCAAGCTACGTTGAAATCAGCAATCCAGGGTTGGTAATGTTGGAGGACACATTCATTTTTACCTTGTGGATGCATAGTGCTGTAGGGGTCACTGTTGTATACAGTCTGTTTTCTATTTGTTAATAAAAAAAATCTACAGCATCATTGCATAATTCTTGATGTTAATAAATTTGAATAATTGGGTTTCATACAAGCTGGCTTTCCTGTCTGTTTCTTCTGCAATAAGGAGAGGCCACAGAACCCTTTAGCAGTGGGCACACTCCTCAGCCCTTGGCAGGTAAGTTCTTTCCCACAGGTATGTGCCAGCCATGAGTGTGCTGCACTTCCTACAGGGACCCTGTGCCTTCAGGGTGCTTGGAAACCTGCTGTGACAATTCCCTTTGTGCATATGTGTGCTCACCTCCTGTCCGCCTGCAGTTGTAGGGGAGTGCACTGGCTGGATGTGCAGGAAAGAGAGGGGTCAGTGGTGATGGCTTTGGTGGCAATAGTAGTAATTGGCACCCTCCTGGACACTGCAGCAACGCTGCTCTGTAGCACTGAGCGCAGTTGTGTATTCAGAGTTAGTGCTCAGCAGCAAAGCTGTCACACAGCCCCTGGCTGCAGAGCAGCACCCATTTGTTCAGGTGTGAGACCTGCCCAGACTGCCAGCCTTGCCTGCTCTGTGTGGAGAGCCCAGGCCAGCCCTGCCCTTGTGTGCATTGCAAAGCTGAAATGTCAGCTCCTGGAGAGAGCAGCACCTGCACACAGCACAGGTGTGTGAGGGGAAACCAATGCAAGGGGCAGAACCACATGGATCAGGGCCCTGGGGTATTTCCAGCCTTCCCAGGGGAGCCAAATCTGCCCTGGCCAGCATGTCCATGATGGGTGGGAGTGCATGGCAGACTGATGAGCTTTTCCTAGTGTGGCTATGGGCACCAGGGTGATTCCTCAGTGACTGCTGGAGCTCACTCACACATAGCATTCCCTGCCAGGCCAGACCAGTTCCTGGGTAGGTGCCAGATGCAGGAATGTTTTCCCCTTGCCTGGCTCATTGTTCCTAGTGTTGGGCAGCCTCACTGGGGATGCAGATCCAAGGGCAAAGCAAGCTCCTGCCCTTGTGAGGCAGCACATGTGCAGGTGTGTGGGGGCATGTGCCAGGGTTGCTGGCAGTGGGATGCTTGTCATCACTGTGGGGCCCAGGATGGCAGAGTGGCACAGCCAAATAAGTGAACCCCTGCTCACACACGGGTGTGTCTGGGGAGGAAGGGCACCGCGCTCAGTGCTGGTAGCCAGCCAGCTGGGAGATGGGCAGTGAGCACCTGCCTGTGCTGCAGCAGCAGTGCTCAGGTTGTGCTGCCAAATTACAGGTGGTGACTGCTTCTGCCACTCACTGAGCACTCACCAGGACTGCCACACGGGCAGCACGGAGCTTTAGTCCATGTACAGCCTTGAACGCAGAGATTCTCACCAAAAGTTGCAAAGTTGCCAGAACACTTACAGATATGCACATGTGCATGGACCTTCTTTCTCCTCATCCAGGAACACTTTGGACTTCATTCCCCACCTGTGGGCTTGTCTGTGGACTGAGTAGAAGTACAAGGAGGCAGAGAAAGGGTGAAGAATTTCAGCATGGAATGCACAAAGAATAAGATGAGTGAGCCCAGGCCTCAGAGACAAGGCTATTGCTGGTAGCCACATGGCCAAAGCCTCATGCTGACCTCACAGACCAGGAGAGGCTCAGTGCACAAACTGTGAGGATGTGCCACCTTGGCAAGGGGACAGGCTCCCAGAGGTCAGCAAAAACAGCTCTGACAGCTTTTCTCCAGCCCCTTTGTCCACTCCTCTGGCTCCTCACACAAAGCCAACACTTCTCCAAAGGGAATGGACTCATATAATTTTAAAAACACTTATTCTTTGAACATTTATTTCCCATTATTTCTATGTATCTCACAAAATAAAAGGGGAACAAAAAAACCATGGTGCATAGTGGATCAACAGCAATGCCAGCCTGATCTGCCCCCTGAGCCAGCACTACAGCTTGTACCACACTGCAGGCAGAGCCACCCTGCTTCTTCCCAGGGCTTGGTACTGACATTCCTGAGCTGCACTGCTCAGCTTTTCCCAGTTAGAAAGGATTTACCACAGCTGGCTTTTTTTTTTTTTTTTTTTTTGCATAATTTTCTTTGGTATCAGCCTGAGACTTTTCCCACCCTCTGGTATCAGTACCACACTGAGCTCCAGATCTGAAGGAATGGTCTGGACATGGTGCTGTAAGACACTTTAGCTTCTTCTGTTTGGAGTTTTAAACAGACCATTATTGCACTAAGCAATGGAGCTGGGGTATTATTGCTGCCTTTTTTTCTCCAGTGAAAATTTTCCATTCCTTAGTTAATACCAGGTAGCCCCAGTGCAGCCTCAGATAAGCAGCTCTGTAAAGGCCACAGTTTGGCAGGTGGGACAGCAGCTAAATGGCAGCCAGTCAAAGGTGAATTTCTGGGCACTGAGGTGCCCTTCTGCTCTTTCATATTTTTTATGCATACCATTGATGTTGTAGCAGGAGCTGTGCAGGCACTGCCCAAGCTTGGCTTGCCTCCTAGTGATATTAACTCACAGGATCATAGAGTGGTTTGGGTTAGAAAAGACCTTTAAAGATCAGCTATTTCAAATAACATCCTGACCAAGCACTATCCCTTTGGGGTTCCATTGCTTTAAATTTTGTTTTTCAAAGGCAAAATACTTGTTAAATAAGGAAAAAGAAATAGCTGTAACACTGAAAAAATCTGAGCAGACTCTGCACAGTAGCTTGGCAACTCCTTCCCCCACAGTCTTCAAATTTCTTGTCCTCAGCAACATTGCCATCTTCATTTGTAACATTTCCTAGTTGAGAGTGACTTTTTTTTCCTCTTTTTTCCTTTTTTTCCTGTTTGACCTGGTTCATTTCTGAGGGCAGGAATAATACTGATCCTTCCAATTAAAAGCTCATTGCTGCCCTTTTGCCAGTTATAATAAGCAATCTCAGTCCTCGGTAACAATTACAGGTTATCTTCTGTGCCTACACGTTTCTGCTCACAGGAACACTTTGCCACTTGTCATCTTGAAAAGGCTGACTCGTGTCTCCTGAGGGCAGCAGGGCAAGAGAGGTGATTCTGCCCCTCTACTTCTCTCTTTTGAGATCCCACCTGGAGCTCTGTGTCCAGCTCTGGGGTCCCAAACACAGGAATAACACAGACCTGCTGGAGCAGGTCCAGAGGGGGTCACAAGGATGCTCAGAGGGCTGGAGCACCCCTCCTGTGAGGACAGGTTGAGAGAGCTGGGGTTGTTCAGCCTGGAAAAGTGAAGGCTCCAGGGAGACCTTACACAATTTCCTGTGCCTAAAGAGAGAACTGGAGCAGGGCATCCACGAGGGCCTGTAGTGATAGGACAAGGGAGAATGGCTTTGAACTCTAAAGAGGTCAGGATTAGATTAGATGTAAGGAAGAAACTCTTCCCTACAAGGGTGGTGAGACACTGAAACAGATTGCCCAGAGAACTTATGGATACCTCATCCCTGGAAATGTTCCAGGCAAGGTTGGATGGGACTTTGAGCAACCTGGTTTAGTGGAAGGTGTCCCTGTCCAGTGCAGGGGTGTGGAACAAGATAATCTTCAAGGTCTCTTCCAATTCAAACCATTCTGTGGTTCTATGATAATAGAAAGTTGGTGTTTCTTGACTAAAGGATGACAAGTGCAGCTGCCACCAGAAAGGCCAGAAATGCAATTTGTTTCAAAACTGTTACCTGACAGTTGTCTGGCTTTTTTATAGGAGGCTGTGTGTCGTGCCTACTGCTGCTATAATCCACTTTGGGGGTTTGGTCTGTATATACCTGGCAATTCAAGATCTGAGCAGGTCAGAGAGGCAGCAGACAGGGAAAGCCTGTGTAGGAGGGGTGTTTTGTCAGGCCTTTCGGGGCTGCTGCCTGCCCGTAGCATGACAGCAAAGAAAACAGGTATTAGGAAAAACAGTGAACTTAGAGTTTTATTTAGGCATGATGGAAAAAGTGTGGTCTCTGAGGATAGCTATGAACTTTTCCAGGTGCGTTGTGCTTACTTTCAAGGTTGCTCAGTGGCACTTGGAGATTTAGAATGCATTTAGCACAGCAGAGTGTGAAAATCGCAGCCAGTCCGAGCCAAGGAGGGGCCAGTGTCCCTAGGCAAGCTGTGTTAAGCACTCAAAGGCCCTGTACACGCTCAATAAAGCCGTACTGCCAGGTGCCAGTCCCTGACACGGACGGTGTTGGATCATTGGCAGCACCCGCAGGCTGCGGCGGCTTTTGCTCGGTTCCGTACGGTGCTGGCCGAGCGCCCTGGCGTGGGCCGGGCCTGGTGCTGCTCCAGCCTCCGTCTGCGTTCGCTGCCAAACCTTTGACAAGCATCACATTCTACTCTGGCTTTGTTTACACACGGAAGCTGTAGGAGTGTGATTAGCGGGGTTCGCGTGCTCGGCCGGCAGGTGCCTGCTGGGTGTCACCGCTCCGCGCCCCAAACTCACCCGCTCGCTGCAGCACCCACGTACCCGGGGTTAGCGTCCACCTCGCGCTGGGCACCAGCAGGACCGGGATCGGTTTCACCCGGCGACACTGCCCGGGGCCCGGAGGCGGGGAGCGAGCGGGACACAGAGGGGATGCGGGAAGGAAGCGGGTGGGCTGCGGGCGGCCTCGGGCCGGCGCCCCCGCCGTGCCTGCGCGGGCTGAGGGAGCCCCGGCGCGGCCCCCGCTCCAACGCCCCCTAGCAACTGCCTGGGCCCGCCTGCCTAGCAACCGCCCCGCGCCCGGCCTCCTGATTCGTCGGCCAGCCCCTGCCGGCCGTCGAATTCCTATTGGCTGCGGAGAGGGCAGCGGGCAGCGATTGGCTGCGGCGGCGGGGGGAAGAGGCGGGGCGGCCGGGCGGGGTTCGGGCGGAGCGGAACGGCCGCGGTGGCGTCGGCGGTCCGCAGGATTCTTTGGGAGCGTGGTGCGGAGGGATACGTCGGTCAGACGTAGGTACGAGGGTCGGGCGGTGGTGGCGGAGGAGCGGGACGCGCTGCCGACGTGAGCACGGCGGGCGGGGACTCGGGTTCCGCCTCGCCGGCCGGGCCGGGCCGGGCCGGGCGGTAGGAGGGGGTGAGTCGGTGGCGTTCTCCGCCGTGAGAGGGAGAGCGAGCCCTGGGGTCCTGACGGGCACGCGGCCTCCGCCAATGAGAAGGGAGGGCCGATGCGGACCCCGCGGCGATTGGCCGGCGGGCGGGAGGGGCGGGGCGGGCACGGTGTCCCGCCCCCCGCAAGGACACCCCCGCCTCCTCCGCGCAGGGCCGGCCCGGCATCATGGCCTCGGAGCTGGAGAGCCTCAACCCGGGGCAGCGCATCATGACCTTCCGCCCCACCATGGAGGAGTTCCGCGACTTCAGCCGCTACATCGCCTACGTGGAGTCGCAGGGCGCCCACCGCGCCGGCCTGGCCAAGGTGCGACACTCCCTCTCCCCTCGGGCGGAGGCCGCGCCGCCGGCCCCGGGCCGCGCACCAGCCGCCTCCGCCCTTTGTTTACGCCGCGGCGCCGGTGGGGCGGGCGCGCCCCGGCCGGGGCTCGGCCCGAATTCCCCGAGTTTGACGCTGTCCCCGGCCGCGGCCGCCGCTCCCGGCCCGTGTGTCCCCGCAGATCGTGCCGCCTAAGGAGTGGAAGCCGCGGCAGTGCTACGATGACATCGACGAGCTCGTCATCCCCGCGCCCATCCAGCAGGTGGTGACGGGGCAGTCCGGGCTCTTCACGCAGTACAACATCCAGAAGAAGGCCATGACGGTCCGCGAGTTCCGCAGGATCGCCAACAGTGACAAGTACGGCCGGTCTCGGGCACTTAAGTTATGGAATGGTTTAGGTCAGAAGGTGCATTAAATACCACCTCGTCCCCACTTTGTCAGGGGCAGGGACTCTTTCCTCAAGTGCAGGTTGCTGAGGGCCCCATCCAAGCATGCTTTGAACACCTGTAGGGATGGAGCATCCACAGCTCCCCGCAGGGACCAGGTCCTCGGTGCGGTCTGGGGTCAGCAGTGTGAGCATCATGCCCCAGGCAGTTGAGGTTCCTTGTGCAGCTGTGTGCATGGGGACCTTTGTCACCTGTGCAGCAAGATGGTGTGTAATAGCCACAGAACTTTTTGTTTGTGCTGTGGGCTCCTGTCTGTCTGTCTCCAGTAGCTAGACCATTGAAATACTTACTAAGTAGTGGAGAAAGGAATGTTCATGACATAAAAAAGGAGATGAAGATCACTTGAAAAAGAGTTAAAGCAAAAAAGTCTTTGCAGTAATTAGAAATAGCATTGGAATTGCCAGCTACAGTCAGTCCATCAAGGCTTGTTTTAGTTTTCAAAAGCAGTACACGCCAGATATTTTAGAGTTGTGTTTAATAGAATAATTTGATGAAAGTTACTGTTTTATGTTACGTATGTAACTGTCTGGAATCTGTGTATATAGACACACATTAAATAGGTGTTAAGACTAAATTTGGCCCCCCAGAGCTACATATAGTCCAGTATATAGTTAGCAGGGAATGAGCATCAAGAGCAGGTATTTTGCTGTAAACAGAGCATGTTTAACCATGGTGAGTCTGTGCAGGTTTGCTAGTTTCACAGTGGCAGAAAACTTTGGGTTTGTGTGGGGGTTTTTTTAAGTTGTTCTTTGTATCATTTCTGGTTTTGACTGTGTTGTTGCTTCTAAGTAGCTAGCCAGAAGGTGAAATTGTTCTGACCCCGGAAAAGTGCACAAAGCGAAAATGAAAGTAAACTGAGAAATGGGGAAAGTAATTTTCTTCCTGATACTTCTTTCCAAAGTGTAACAGAAACAGAGCCATGACTGCTCTCACTGCTCCTCTGGCTGGTAACACATATTAGGTATTTTTATTGTAGCTTTCTGAGGAAAACATTGGCTCAGACTTGTCAAATATCAGACTGCCAAGTCTTTAGTATCTTTCTTGTTTTTTTCAGGTACTGCACACCCCGGTACACAGACTTTGAAGACCTTGAACGAAAATACTGGAAGAATCTTACCTTCAATGCCCCCATCTACGGGGCTGACGTTAATGGCACGCTCTACGACAAGGTAAGGAAACTGTTCTGGTTTTCAGGTAACAGTTATCCTGGTACATTGCATTCCATAAATACTAATGTGGCATTTGACTCTTACCTTTTGGAACAAGTTAATGATAGTCTTAGCATAGTTTGAGCTTCTGGAGTAGGCAGCTGACAGAGGAAGGGACCTCTGCTAGCACTTCAGTGTGGGGAAGCAAAAACCACTATTGCCCAAGCACTGCTTTGTCCTGAAAGGCTTATGAGGGTTGGAAGGGCAGATCAGTGGATACATGCTGCTTTGGTATCCACTGGTGTATGTATTTTTGTGGGACAGCTCTATAGCCCTTAGGTAGTAGGAGGATAACTGCCCAAAGACAATTTGCATTCTGCTTGCTTGTCTCCTAAATTCTCATGATTTATTCTTTTAAAAGATATTTGGAATGAAAAGTGGTTTTGTTGAAGAGGGTTCAGACATCAGCTCAAACTCAATCAACATCAGCTATTGTTCTCTGCTCTCTTAAGGCTGTAGCTTCATGATTATTTCTCCTTTGTAATCATTACTTTGACTGGTATTTTTTTCCCCTCCTTAAAGGCCAGTAAGCAATCAGTGTGCAAGCCACCATGCAAAACTTTAGGTTTAGGTGAACAAGCTTGAAGCTTGAGCTGTGTCATTCTGTGATGTGCTGTTGCAAAGTATCTCTTAAGCCTTTGCAAAGTCTCATCTCAGCTGTGTGATTCTGTACTTTTTAATCCTTGTTTGACATGAGGCTTGTGTTTCAAGCATGTAGATGCGTGGAATATTGGCAGATTGAACACAATCCTGGATATTGTGGAGAATGAAAGTGGCATAACCATTGAAGGAGTGAATACTCCTTACCTATATTTTGGCATGTGGAAAACTTCCTTTGCTTGGCACACCGAGGACATGGATCTCTACAGTATTAATTACTTGCATTTTGGGGAACCCAAGTCATGGTAAGATTTTTTAAGGAATCTTCTGCATGTAGAAAATCAGTACCATAAAATATTGGAGTCAGTCACAAAGCTAAGAGCTCACTAAAATAATTATCAGTTTTGCAGCTTTGCACTGCAGTTCGCTGTGATGACAAGAACACTTAAGGAGCTGCAGAGCAGTGCATGTCCTCAGTAGAATTTTTTTGGTAACCTTCTAGAAGGGTCTGGTTGCTGTCCTGATGTAGGGAGTTCTTCTGAATTACAGTATGGACACTGTCTGCTGTGGTAAGGCCAAAACTCAGCCAACTTGCTTATCATTTCCTGAGGCTCTGAAATGACCATGCAGAGGTATGGTCACACAGGCACTGGGGGAACAGGCAGTTTTTAGTAGACTTTAACCTGTAGCTGTTTATCATGTATCTAAGTATCAGGCTAGTGGATGTCACTGGGTGGTTTGTCCAGTGTCTGAGCTTTCTTTTTAGGGGAGGCTTCTGCAACCATGGGTTGCATTTTAAGAGTGAATCATGCCCTTCCTTTCACAAATGAATTTTCCAAGCAACTTCAGCAATTGTTTCCACAGCACTTTTGTTGGAAACTAGTATTTTTGGCTGCCTTTTATTACAAATTTGAAGAAGCAAATAATAGCTAGCACAATGTAACCCATGAACAACCCCATGCAGTGGCAGCAGCAGAGAAACATGAAACAGTATAGTTCAGTCTGTTGAACTATTTGGCCATTGCTTCTTCTACAGTAGTACTTGGAAGAAGTGAGCTTTGCTAGTATCTTTGGTTAATTTAGTAAGGAATCTGTTCAGAATATAGCACTGTATTCCAGACTGAAAGCAAACTAAGTGGGTTGATTTATTTATTGTAGTCATACCAGCCAGGAGTTTTGTGGCACCCATTAAAAGGTGTGTACAGAGAGAGATGTAGCTCTAAAGAGCACTCATGAGTTGTGCTCATGTTCAGGATGTGGCACCTGACCTAGTCCCATCTTTGTCTGAGCAGCTGAAAGAGGTGATTGCATTTTCTCTCTTGCCCTGTGTTCCTCCTTGCACTGAGTATACTGAGGTTACACTGCTGTGAAATGAGACAGTTCAGGAAGTGCTCTTCCCTTTCTTGTTGCAATTCATGTTCTGCCGCACAGATCTGCTAATTATGTACATCAGACTTTTGACTTCCTTGATTGCTTGAGCGAAAGTTGTTAAAAGAAACGGTCAGCTTTTGCATGTTGGTTTTTTCTTGGGATAGAAAGGTAAAAGTCCTCAATGAAGATTTTTAAGTCCATATCAAACTTTGAAAAAGACAAGTGTAGAAATCGATTTTTTTTTTTAAGTAATTCACATCTTGATGACTGATTACAATTTCCAGTCAGACTTTGAGATTTTGTTGTTGTCACTTGAACTTAACAGACTTGTTCTTACAACTGCAGGTACTCCATCCCTCCAGAGCATGGGAAAAGGCTGGAGAGACTTGCAAAAGGTAATCAGGCAGTTCATGTCCTGCCTATTTCTAAAGATGGGAGGGAGAGCTGCAGTGGGTTTCTGCTGTTTTAGAGAGCATAGGTTGGCATGACTGCTCTGATAATTTTCCTTTTAGAAAATAGATTACATTACTTCTGAATGTTTGTTTACAGGATGCACACAAGAGAAATTGTCACATTACAAATAATGAACTTGTGGTCTGTCTGACCTTAAATGAGAAAATTCTTAGCTATAGATTATTAAAACTGGAAAGTTATGGGCAAGGGAGGATCCTTCTATTTGAAGCCTTTTTTATGTTCTTTCAAACTGGCAGCTGTTAAAAGATAAATCTTAGGGGTTTGTCATTTTTCTTCAGCATGCAAAGTAGCACACTTCAAATAAGGTGATCCATATTTGTAGGGAAAAAGTGTCTGTACAGGAATTTTTCATAAAACTGCTGAAATATAAATGTAGTTTGAGCACAAAGGTAACATCTCTCCTTGTCTTTATTTTAAATAGGTTTTTTCCCAGGAAGTGCCCAGAGCTGTGAAGCATTTCTCCGTCACAAGATGACTCTCATCTCTCCATCAATTCTGAAGAAATATGGAATTCCATTTGATAAGGTGTAGAAAAGTAATCGTGGTTATACCAGCTTGATCAAGAGATTCCTGCAGCCTTGTCTTGCTTCTGACAGCAGCCATTAGCAGATGTCAAGGGCTCCTAAAAACAAAAGCTTAAGTTTCTGTGATTTTTTAAATATTTTAAAAACTTAAAACTAAACATTATCTCCTCTGTTAGATTCACTTCACTGTTTAGATATGTATTCAGTGAAGTGAGATTTTTCTTTTTTTGTTTCCACTTTCCCCTTGTTAATTTTGTTGCAATCTGCTTCCTCAATAGAAAATAAGGCTTGTCCCCTATTTACTTTTTAATTACATTAGTAACTTTATAGGCTTCCTCACTTTCTCATGTAGCAACCTGCCATTCCCCTTCCCACACAGAGATATTAAAGACCTAGGCTTTGAGCTCTTATTCAGAAACACAGCCTGGGCGGCTGAAGGGTTTTGTTGTCATAAGCCTTTACAGGGGGGAAATGCTGAAGAACAAGCAGTGGAAGGCTGACTGAGAGTTGTACTCTAATGTGAACAGCAAAAGAAAACAATAATAAATTTTCAAGTTCTGTGTAGGTAGAAATTTATTCAAGCTTAGATACTGTTCAGCCAAACCTGTAGCCGATACAGATAAGTATCTTCATTGCAGAAGGGAGCTCCAGCCACCATCTGTGAGTTGGATTTTTGGGTGTGCTGCTGACAGGGCTACAGGAGCTCCTTTTAATCACAGTCACCAAGACCTTCTTAACCTCTGAGTAACACTGTGATGTCTCAATTGCGTTCTAGGTGACACAGGAGGCTGGAGAGTTCATGATAACCTTTCCTTATAGTTATCATGCTGGCTTCAACCACGGCTTTAACTGTGCTGAATCTACCAACTTTGCTACTCTTCGGTGGATTGAGTACGGGAAGCAGTCAGTGCTGGTGAGTGGCCTGTTGCCATCGTTAAGCCCCCACTGTTTGTTTTAGGAGAGTGGTTTCGAGCTTTTAAGATGTGATGTCTGCTTTCTCATAATGTAGCAACATCAGGGCAGAGTCCTGCTTAGTGCCTTGTGTCAACCATGCATGTTACGTGTTTTGTAACTTTGTAACTGTTTTGTAAGTTTGTGCAACTCATGCGAGGCTTCCGAGAAAAGCATGGAACTGGTTCTCTTTCCAGATGTGAAAGAGTATGCTTGGTGGACGGAGCCCATCAGCATTTTTCTCCAGTATTTTAACCATTATTTATTGACTGTTTAGCCTGGAAATCAGCTTTGTAACTTAAATGACTTACCAAAATAAGTATCTTGGCTGAACCTTTAAAGTGAATAGTGTTACATCCCTGTAGAGGTGCCTGTCAGACAAGGTTTACATTTCCAGAAGCTACATTGAAGTGGATGCTTTGAAGCACTAGTTGTAACCATGCCTGGGGGAAGGTAACCTCTACTGCCCTGGGTACCCCGAGATTTTGTGTGGCTCTGATTTCTTCATTATAGTCTCTGCTTTTGTGACCTGTTTCTGTATGAGCTCATTTTAAAATACCCAGCTTCAATCAGCAATTGTGTAAAAAGACTGATGAGCTTTCTGTCCTAGTTGTAGTGATAACATCTGGTTTTCTGTTTCATGTTTTTTGCTGGCTTTTCTGCCATTTTTAGTAACCTAATATATACTCTCTTGATTTTTCTGGGAAAGAGTCTTGAGAGTTCTGAGGCTCAATTACATGTGAGTGTGGGATCTTTTTCCTTAGACTCTTGAAAGCAAAATGCTAGAGAAATGTGGAGTAGAATTGTTGAGCCTTATCTTACTATTTTCTGTGACTTCAGTGCTCTTGTCGGAAGGACATGGTGAAGATCTCCATGGATGTGTTTGTGAGGAAATACCAGCCGGATCGTTACAAGCTTTGGAAAGCTGGGAAGGACGTGACTGTCATTGACCACGCTCTTCCAACCCCAGAGGCAGCAGAGTTCCTTAAAGGGGATCTCATGCAAAAAGTCAAGAGTGGGAAACAGTGTGCTGAGGAGATGGAAACAGAAGAGATGTGTAAAGAGGAGGTGGATGGGGATGAGACCAAAAGGTACAGCTTTATATAAAGCCTCTGCTTTTCTCTTGGATTCTTGGAATTTGAACCCAGTTGCAATTAAATGTTTGCCATTCTGATAGAACAGGGAAAGTTAGCAATAATCTTTTTTCCTGGAAGAAACAGGATTTACTCTTAATATTTTTGTACTGTTTAAGTCCACATTAATAGATAGTCTGTGGTAAGCAGGAAATACACCAGCTTGGAAGGTGGTTCTTCATCTTGGGACAGACTTCCAAAGCCTTGGTTGGCAGTGCATTCCCTGCACTGACAGGCCAGTAGATAAAGGGATTGTATTGAGATCATGGGACAGTACTTGCTAGCAAATTCTGGTACAATCAGTGCTGCAAGCTGTGGCATTGGTGTGCAGTTCTTGGTTGCTGAAGGTTAATCATCTTACATTTTGCAGTTAAATCATTTTTGGTCAGTGCCAGCTACTGTTCCCAAAGCTGTCTTTAGTGGTGAATTTTTTTGTTGTTTAGTTTGATTTGTTTGGGGTTTTGTTTGGAGGGTTTTTTTGTTTAAGGTAAAGAATGCCTGGCTAGAGAGAGCTGCCTTAATACATGATTAGCATGCTGAGAAGTCATGTCTAGGGATTACTGACTTTTCCTCTGTAAAGCAAAGAAAACATTTCAGAATAATTTGGAAACTATTTGGCTTTCCAGAGGCTGTCTCATAAAACACTGGTCCAAACCAGACTGTATTTTATGCATTCACACAGAAATGTAACACAGTTATGTGTTTGCTAACCTGACATAGGGATTTGTCTTCTGCAGCATCCCCAAGCACCGCATAGGAACAAAAAGGCACAGGGTCTGCCTGGAAGTGCCTCAGGAGGTGAGTGAGAGTGAGGCCTTCCCTAAGGAGGAGCTGAGCTCCACACAGTGTGAAGCAGACATGGCAGAGCCGTGTGAGAGGCCCACGAGTGAATTTGTGCAGCAAGGTGAACAAAGGATCAAACTTCCAGGTAACTGTGTGCCACGCTTGTCTGGGCACTTTTCAATATTATGCTAGTTGGTAGGATGCTTTTGTGTCCAAAAAAGCAAACACTGGTTTGTCAGAGCCATTGGTAGCACTTCAGAAATTTACTGTTATAAGACTTGAAATATTACCATTTCCTAGTTTTGGATATTTACTCTTTATATTGCCTGCCTGCATACACAATTATATGGGATGCCTCAGTAGTCTAAGCTCCTTTTTATCTCTCTTGAGCAATGTGACTTGTTTATAGGAATTGCTTAGTAAAACACATGCACACTTCCTGGTAGTGTGGGTCTGGCATGCTTTATAGGTGTGTTACTTGTAATTTTGTAATAAGTAGGCTGGACAAAATTCTTGTAGGTTGTAATGGATGAGTTATCCTTGCTGTTAGGGGAGGAGCAAGAGGCACATGGAGCAACACAAGAACAGGGAAAACATTTGATGCCCCCTCTTGTGTTTTGGTTGTGGTTTTTTTTGTTTGCAGCTTGTATTTAATAATCTTTTATTGGGTTGTGGGTTTGTTTTTCTTTTTCTACTAAGTCTTCCTTGAATGTTTGTAGTCACTTACACACGTCAACATATGGCCAGGAGTTGGGCTGTTTTAACTACATACACGTCTGTATAAAGGATCATCTGTGTTTATTTGCATTCACTGTCTGCTGCTTTGTTTTATGTACCCTAGTTCTTGTGATGGGAGAGGCAATGGGCAGATGCTTTTATTCTCTCTCTGACTAAGCAATGTATGACTTTATAGGTGTTTGAATTAATCATCTGCTCTATATATGATGTGCTGTTGCTTTTTTGTGTGTAGTAGTTTGCTTTTCTGTCTGGCTTTGTGCAAATAGTTGCACAAACGTTCTCTTTCTGCTCAGGCTTCAGAAAAAGTCAATCTGTCTCTTCTTCCAGATCGTGTGGACTCAGCCAAATTTGAAGAATTGAAACCGGTGAAGCTTGAGGAAGAAGAACAAGAAGCAGCTGCACTGGATCTCTCCATTTCACATGCTTCAAATTCCACTTCAGTGTTGCCAGCTTCAAAGCAGAGTGCTGCATCCAGTGTTCAGTCTAGCTCACCTTGCTACTCCTCAGACTCAGAATCGTGTGATGCGTTGGCGAAGCGAACGGTTCCGGGGCCAGCCGGGGTGTTCACCGTGCACAGCTACGCCAAGGGCGATGCCAGCGGCTCCGACAGCGAACACACTTCAGGGAGGAAAGCCACTGCCAGCTCCAGTGTCACTGAGCAGGAACTGACAGAGGTATGAGAGGCAAAACACCTGAAAGGTGGAGGGCTGTAATTCCATGGTCAGGAATTTGCTGCGGCAAAACTTCCTATCTGTGCAGATGACAGTTTCATCTCACTGGTGCAGAGCAGGTTGCAGCTCTGGGTTTTGCTAAACACACAAGAATTCAGATGAAAGTCTTGTATACTTAGCCCTTCAAGTAAGCAAGGAGATCACCTGTCTTGACTACTTCTCTAAACTATTTAAGTGCTGTAATGGAAAGGATAGCTTAATGTTTTTGACACGGTAGTGTTACAGAATGATCGCGGTCCTTTTGTACTAGGAGACACCTGTTTGTACCTAAAATGGATCTGGTTTGTTCCAGCCTTTCTTGCAAGCACATTCATGTGATGAGGGGTTTTTAATATAAAATTACATACATGGATACATCTCTGTGTCCTGTTAAAAGAGGAGAAAGGCTACAACAAAAATACTGTTTGAGAGAATGTAAATCTGTGTTAAAAAGCTGCCAATGAATGTTTTATTAAACAGCTTAAGAGAAGAGTTAGAATCTTAGCTGGTAGTGTCCTTCCAATATTTTGTTTTCCTGTTTAAGCCTGTGTCTAGAGAATCAGAATTACACCAAAGGAACGGTAGATAGACCAATCTTGGTAATTAAGCTGAAACTGAGAGAATTGTTTATGGCTATTTAAACTGAAGACATTCTGTTGCAGATACTTATGTCTCCATCACATGCTCTGAACAGGGAAAAAGTGAAATTTTGAATGGGTGTGGATTGTTTTCCACGGAGGGGTGTACTTTGAAACAAATTTTCCATTAGGTGTTAACTATGAATGCTAAGTTCAGTATTTCTTAGAAGTCTTGTATGCAACTCTGTGTAAGAGAACGGAGGTCATGATTATTATGCTCTCTTCTGGCTTCATTTATGAAAAGAAGATATTTAAACATATGTAGGATGTATTTAATCCAAGATTCACTTCTTTAAAAAGAGTAACAGATTTTTAAAAAGTGTGGGCTCTTACCTAGAGGGAGACTTTCTGGACTGTTGAAGTCATTACCTTTACTGACCTGTTTGTCAGGTTAATAGTAATTTTGTTAGTGTATCACTTGTTTTTGTATGGGGCTAAGGGAAGAGGAAATAGCTGTTCTTGCAATCTCCTTCTTCCAGTCTGTCTGGTATGACATCAAGGCAATTAATAAGCAGAAAGAATTAAAGTGTCCTTCATTTAAAATAACCCTTTTAGTTTGACATGTTTATGAGCTCTGTATTTTTTCTATTTTATTTTATTTTTACTTTTAAATTTGGAATATTTTAAGTGACACAAACTGAGGCTTCTCCAGAATTTGAGACTTCTTATCATGCCTCTTTTAAATGGAACCATCCAATTTGTCTTTCTTTGTTTCTGTCCTTTACATGATTCCTTAAAGAAACAGACGTGCATGAAAAGCTACACTGGGACCTGTGAAAAGTGTCCATTCTACTGACTCGACAGAACTAGTACAGCTCTGACCAGTTTTTCATAGCAAAAGTGCTCTGAGCACTTTGAAAGAGAGTTTAGAGCTGAAGTTACTTTGTTGAAAATGAAACTGGAAGCTTGTGTGCATTTTGAAGTAGTTTCTCTAAGTTCAAAGTAAATTCATTCCAGAATGGTGTCCAAAGGGCCTGTGCTAACTGACAGCTGAATTCCTTTCCTGGTCCAGGTGGGAAAGGAGTATTTAAGCTCCATGAAGGAGAGTAAGAAGTCCAAGGGCCGTCGCCAGCCATTGAGCAAACTCCCCCGTCATCACCCACTCCTGGTCAAAGACTGCATCAGTGATGATGGTAAGCAAAGCCTTGTGCTCCTTGGGAAATTGGAGAGAGGGTCTCAGCTTCTGTGGGCAGTGTGGGATATTCTAGTAAGTAACTGGTGATAAACAGGAGTCAGCAAGTGACAGCTCTGCCTCCTAGACAAGGTGCATATCTCGTTGTATCATTCAACTTTTCTCTCAAATGGTGTCATCTTTCTTTCCTGTATTTTCTTTGGAAAGCAAAATTAAACCAGTACCAGAGACTGTTGCCTAACTGCATCTGCCTTAGAATATTCCAGTCACTGATGTAAATGTTTGGGATTTTAAAAAAACCCTAATGCCAAAGTGTTTGGTGGATTACTTTCATTTCGATGTAGATATAATTTGGAGCTGGTTCTGCCCTGTTGCTTGATTAGTAGAAGTCTCTTGGAAAGGAGACTGAGTTACTGGCTTCCATCACCCTTCTGTCAGTTTGCTTTCTGGCAGTCTTTCTTTCATCTCCATTCATAGCTTCTTGCCTTATTTAGTTTCATTTACAAGAAGAACCTCTATAAAAGGCCATATAGTCACTGAGTGAATGCTCTCTTATCACAGAGGCATCAGAGCAGCTAACTCCTGAAGAAGAGGCTGAGGAGACAGAAGCATGGGCCAAGCCACTGAGCCAGCTGTGGCAGAATCGGCCGCCAAACTTTGAGGCTGAGAAAGAATACAATCGCAGCATGGCGCAGCAGCCCCCGTACTGTGCTGTCTGTATGCTCTTCCAGGCATATCAGGTATGAAACACAGACTCTTCATGCTGTCACAGAGTAGGTGCTGCTGTGGTACATAGTTTCAAATATGTGCGTTTGCATATTGCCAGTTAACAAAAGCTGTATCAGTGTTACAGCCTTTCCCAGGAGCTGTTCCAGGAGAACACAGTGGGTGAACATCCTCAGGCCCCTGATGGGCCCCTGTGGGTCCCCAGGGGCTCGCTCAGCTGTTCAGCAGAAGCTTTTGTGTTTTGTGGCTTTTGCTCAAACCACAGAATGGAGCTTAAATGTTGCTGGAGCTGACTATGAAGCATCACTTTTCCTTTCCAGACTGACTACTTCACTTCTAAAATGTTTCTAAGAAAACACTTTAGGTCCTCTCATAGTACATGGTCTTTGATGAGCTGGCAAGGAGGAAAACCTTTTACTTAAAAGAATTTAAGGTTGTGTTTGTAGATGATATAGATTGAAAGCTGTCTGGTCTTGGAGCATATCCATGACAGTAGCATGGGATGAGGTGCAGAAGTCTTTTGTTGTGTGGAGTAGATGTGTAGGCAACAGTCCCTCAATTAATTTCTTTAGATAGCTAAGATAAATAATTTTAAAGTAGCTTGATAGTTGTCTGCATGTTTGACCTGCAACTTTGAGGTAGTTTGACCCTTCCTGTACACTAAGCATATTTGATTCATTTGTGATGACTTTGTAGTTGTGGTGGCACTAGAAACATGTTCACCACAGTTTTGGAAATAAAGACCTCACATTTTTGTTGCAGATTTATATTTCATGTAGTTCCTAATTTTAATTAAAACCACAGACCATAGCTTCTGTTCAGTCTTGCTATTTCTATCTGAGAGTAAGTTCTTAGAAATGGAAATACTATTTAGGAACTGTATGGTACATGAGGATTTTACTAGTGCTGAAAGGTATAAAGTTAACAATTTGAGAACAGTTGAAGTTCTCTGAAGATTTTTTTTTGTAAGTTGCTGTTGAGCAGAAAACTCTTAGCTGCAGGTTTTCAAATGTCTACACCAGGCAGTGGAGCAGAAACTCTTCCAAGATTTGAGCTGTGGTTAGAGTCTTTGTTCCAACTTCAGAAAGTCTGTAGCAACTCTGGAAACTCACTTCAGTTACCCGTTCAAATAAAAAATTGGCACAGAATGCCAGACAAGTATGCACTTTCCTTGGGAAGAAGAGTATTTGCTGCTTAGGGGGAAAAAAAGTTGTTTTGTTCTTAAATTTTGTTACAGATTTCCCTCAGTCATTTTGTCTTTTGTTTGACATGCAATGTAAGTTTCAATCAGTAAGTTTTACAGAATTAGACTGAACAAGACTTGTAGAAAAAATGTCAATTTCCTTCCTACTGTGAGCATTACCTGGACTTTTTCTGCCTAGCTTTTGAGGCACTGCAGGAGAGACAGTGCAGATTCATTCTGCTACTGCAATTTCTGCTAAAAGTAATCTTAAAGATTAGGCAAGCTACTTTTGTGGTAGCCTAAAAGGTACAAAAGGTGGTTTGAACATTTTTTCAAAGAGAAAAATTAATTTCTGTTTAACTGTTCAGAGGAGTAGCTTTACTGGAAATACACATCTGTAAATTTTGCATGTCTTAGCTGTTTGATTTGATGTTGATTTAGAAGGATAAATTATGAAAGATTAGCCTGAAAGTCTCCTGAGCTTTATATGGGAAATTGCATTTTCAGTCTGTTTATTTTCCAGGAACAAATTAGTTTTAAAGCCCATTGGACTTATTCAAAATTACACTGGGAAAAAGTAATGGGGATTGTGGTAGGTGTCTATTTGTGTGTTGGTAATCCTTCCATATTGAGGTAAGGTAAGTGTACACTGATGGATAGCAGTGTTGTGATCCTCTGTATTACAGGGGGAATATGCAGAAGAGGTGTTGCCTGTAGAGCATGAGGTAGGCTTGGTGATTCTACCTCTTTTGTGAGAAAAAAAGCAGTTTGATGTGTATTTTGTTGCTCATTAGAGGGATGCAATTCAGACTTTCAGTGTAGTATTAAGTAGAGTAGAAATTAATTTCTTTCTGTAGCCACAGCAGCTAAGAATTTTATAAATATAACTATAAGTAATAGTTTATATTTTCACCTAACCTACCAACTCTATGATCTTTCAGTACCTTCATTTTGTCTTTAAACTGGATATATGTATGAAATAATGTGTGAGTAAAGATAATGTGAGACAATTTTACTTGTAAAATTTAAATTCCCTACCCATCCCTCACAGGCAGAATGTGAAGGCAGCAGTCAAAACTCTGGAGTAACTCCAGCTGCTGCAGATGGGAAGATCCGAACTAAACCCCTGATTCCTGAAATGTGCTTTACTGCAACTGGCTGCAGCACTGACCTCAATCTTTCAACTCCCTACCTGGAGGAAGATGGAACCAGCGTACTCATCACCTGCAAGAACTGCCACGTCTGTGTTCATGCCAGTGAGTGCATGCAGATGTTACCCTGAGCCCTGGTGTTCTCCATACTGAGCCTGTACATCATAGCCAGCTTCTGCCAGTTGATCTAATGTACAAATAGACCAAGTTCAGCCCTTAGCCCTTGGAACTGAGTATATACTTACTTGTTGGCCTGTGGGGTGGGCAGTTGGCTGCATGGGTGGCTTCAAATACACAGCATCATCCTGGAGCCTATTGATTTTTAACTCCTGCTCTGTTTCTGGGCCCAAGGGAAATGGGTTTGAGTTCAAATAAACTCTTAAATGAGATGTGTCTGTTCTAGGTTGTTATGGTGTGTCCCCTGAGAAGGCCACTGAAGACTGGATGTGCTCCCGGTGTACAGAAAATGCGTTAGAAGAGGTAAAGTTTTTCACAGATGGAGTCTGGTACATCTGGGAACTTGGCTGCAAAGTTAGTTCACATAGTGTTGTGGGTGTTGGTTCTTTTAATTATCCTGTGAAAAGAACACAATTTAGAGAATGTTCAGGAGCCAGTCTCTTGTGTTTTGGTACTTTTAAACCATAATGTTATCCTTTTAACTAATGCAAAGCTGCTGAGCTCAGAGGGAAGATGTTCTGCCTGAGTTTGGGGATAGCTCCATTGTCTGTCTGAGTTTATGGTAGCTACTATTTCTAAGACAGAAAATAACTTGTGTTAATAACTAGGCAGGTATGTACATTGAAGAAAGCAAGAAGAGCAGGATTCCCTCAGACAGCTACACAGACTCTAGATCAGTGGAATGGGTCAGCCTTTCAATTGTTTCCTCATGTTTGTTCTAGATCCTGTTGCACATCCTGAAAGGTATTGCAGGTGTAAAAGGAACCCATAACAAAAAAGTTGACCCTTCAGTAGTAGGTTCTGCTTGCCTTCAACAGATTTGGAGTCTATATTTCTTTCCCAAAGGGCAGAACTTTTGAGAGCTGAGGAGCTGATCTGTACAAGGTAGTTAGCTCTCTTCTGACAGCAGAATAATTTTCTTCCTCTGGATGTGCATTTTGAGGTGGAAGTTCTGCAGCAAGTGTTGTGCACTAGCTAATGCTTTCTTCTTTACTCCAGGACTGCTGTTTGTGTTCCTTACGAGGAGGAGCGCTGCAGAGAGCCAATGATGACAAGTGAGTGTTGCAGGGTTTTTTGATTTTTAAGGAGAGGCTCAGTTCCTAAGTATCTGAGGGTAAGCTGGTAAAATGCATTTGGTGTAACAGAGTGACCAACAGCATCCATCACACTTTGTGTGTTCATTGTGTTCTCACACAGCATTTCTTACCTCTTTAGGTTATGCCTGGTTCTCATTCTGTGAATTGCTTTGCATTTGATAATGCAGAGCTGTAACATGCAGAAGTATAACCTACCACATAAAAATAAGGTTCCAAATTAATTAGCATCTCTCAGTACCTTACCTACAGAGGATTTTGATTTTCCGTCTTATTTGTGGTTACAGTAATGACAAAGGGCAACCATAGTTTTAAGCAGCACGACTTTGAAATTCAAGGTACCTCTACAGCAACACGTGCATACAGCTGCCTGTCCTGTGTCCTTTGGGTGGATCATTAAAGTTATTTGATGCAATGTAGCAGTGAGGCAGACTTGTAGCACCATGGAATAACTGAACCTTGGCCATGCAGCCTTTTATCATGCAGGAGTCACTGACTTGCTTTCCTGTTAAGCCTTTTAGGAGTAGATTTTAAGTATGAAGAAATGTTGGGCTTGCCCTACATGTGGCCTGTTAGTAGTAGTAGGATTACACTGATCAAATTCAGAGGTTTTTTATGGTGGTTTGTATGGCAAACTTGAAAAGAACTGTATTTACTTTAACTCCAAAGCATCTTCTGTTTGCCCAGTGCATATCAATTTCTTTTTCCTCTCTTTTGCCCTGACAGGTGGGTTCATGTGATGTGTGCTGTGGCTGTACTGGAGGCAAAATTTGTGAACATTGCAGAGCGGAGTCCTGTAGATGTTGGCAAAATCCCCCTGCAGCGTTTCAGACTGGTATGGATCACCTGTGCTGCATCAGTGGTGTCTCTGGTCCATTCAGAATCTGAGGGGTTTTGCTTATCCCATCAAACCCAAGTCACCTTGTTTCAGTCTCCAGACTGAACTGTATAATCTGCTCAGCTCTGTGTATGAGAGATGGCAGTTATTCCTATTGCCATTTTTTAAAATTTTTCCTTGTTCTAGTATTTGTTTATTCGCATGAGGATCCAGGAAAAGGGTTTTCAGTATGTGGCAGGTAACATGCTTGTTTTTCTCCCTAGTATTCAGTTTGCTTAGTTGATTGCTGTCAAGCACTGAGATGCTTCAGGATATGTGAGGCATTCCTATAATGGGTGAAGGTCTTCAGCAGGAAAGGAACTGTACTTAACTCTTTTAACATCTGTGTTGAGGGGAAAATGACTCTGCTATGCATATGAATTGCAGATAACATTCTTTTCCTACAACTGCCCCTCAGGCCCAACTGAGTTGTGACAGAATTTTGACTGTTACTACTGTGGTCATTTCCCATTATTCTAATCTTGTTGCTTGTATTTATGTAACTATTTAGTCAAGTCCTGAAAGGCCCTATTGACTTGGAACATTGCAAGCTGATCTAAGATCTGTTACTGGCATCCTTGGGTTGCATGCTTTGTTCATGTTGAGCTTGATTTTACATTTTACGTTTTTCCTCTATTGCATTACTTTACTTTTATGAATTATTTTCTTGTCATAAACTAAAACTGGTAGCTGCCTGCTTCTGTTTAGTCAAAAAACAGCAAATGGCACAGCTATTATATGATAAGCTGTTGGCTAACCCTTGGTGTGTGGTAAAATCTAGTACCAAAATAACCTCTAGTTTTCTGTCCACAGAAATGCATCTTCTGCAAGAAAAGGAGAAAGAGAATTGCAGGTTGCTGTGTACAGTGTTCACATGGTCGGTGTCCCACATCCTTTCATGTCAGCTGTGCCCAAGCAGCAGGAGTCATGATGCAGCCTGATGACTGGCCATTTGTTGTCTTCATTACCTGCTTCAGGCATAAGACTCCATCTCAGGCTGAGGTGTGTAGGTGTGTTATTCCAAAGATTGGAACTGCAGTGTCTTGGAGGCACTGAGAAGTTTTTGATTGTGTGATTATTTTGAAACTTCATTGAAGGTTTGGCTGTCTCACAGTAGAGAGTAATGTAGAGTAATGTAATCTAACAGTGTTTGTCTTGGATTCTGATCTTAACCTTGCTGCTACTCTGATCTTAGTCAGGTGCTTTATTATACTTTGGTTTGCAGACCAGAAGGACTGGAAGCATCACATCCTTCCTGTGGCTGTTGAAATGAGAAACACTAGTGAGATTTATGCTGTGATTCTTAATATGCAGGAGTTAATACTGGTACTACCGTGACCACTCATCCAGTCTGCATGAGTCGTCACAGAATTTCACATTTAAGTGATTGATTAGTTTCTAAAGTTGCCATGCGTCTTTTTTAACCAAAACCACAACAGTCTGTTAGAGAATGTTTTCTGTAAGGGCTTCCATTGCTCTGAAGAATGAGAACCTAATTTACTAAGTAAATTAAGGACAGTAGCACATAACAGATAAGACTTTAAGTATTTAACATTCCAGAGGCAGAACTTCTCTAAAAATGTTGCTGATGATGGCTGAAATAGAGTAGCTCACCTGAACTAAAATGTTTTGGTTTGTTGTCTGCCAGCACTGCAGCCATGGTCTTCAACATATTTGTTATTGAATCATTGTGTAAGAAGTGATTTTTCTCTTCTCAGCGAGCTAAGGCTGCACTCCAGGATCTGTCCCCTGGACAGATCGTCATCAGCAAGCACAAGAATGGTCGCTTCTATCAATGTGAAGTGGTCAGCCTTGCAAAGGAGACTTTCTACGAGGTCAACTTTGATGATGGCTCCTTCAGTGATAACCTGTACCCAGAGGACATTGTGGTATGTTGTGCTATAGGACAATGGTATGAGTCAGTTCTTGCTTCTGTGGAGGATCAGGGGATCTGGTAATTGTTCCCTGGCTCCTGTAGTGGCTGAGCTGTGCTTCAGGATGGCCTTAGGGATGTTACCTGAGAGTGACTTAACTGAGGCCATATAGGGACAGGTATAACAGGGAGTGCAGCTAATCTCTGGCTGCTTAGCAATGGTAGGTCTGAAGGAAAACTTGCTGATACTTGCATGCCATCCTCACATCAAATACTTTGAAGTTACCACTGTTGGGATTTAAATGCGAATGACATAAATGGATGTCTCTCAGCCTAGTTCTCTATCCCCTAAAATGGAGAATTGTTGGGATGGTGTGCAGTGTGACCTCTTGGTGGTTTGCTGAATTTTCACATAAAGAGGCTCCTTACCTTCCTTGTCTCTCCCATCTTCCCTCTTTATTCTAGAGTCGAGATTGTCTTCAGTTAGGTCCCCCTGCTGAAGGGGAAGTCGTGCAGGTGAGATGGACAGATGGACAAGTTTATGGAGCCAAGTTTGTCGCATCACACGCTATCCAGATGTATCAGGTATAAAATTTCTGTCTAAAAACTCATCATTCAGAACAAGCCAATCATGTTAATAGGGTTGCTGTAGGGGTGTCATGCTTAAACACTCCAGGGTAACTTACTCTCACTGTGATAGCAATGACAGATGCTGGAAGTGATTGCTTGCAGCTGTATGTACCTCTGGCAACCTTGAAAATGTCCACTTCTGAAAACTGCTTGTCTGCAGTTCTTCATCAGACTCTTTCTGTAATTTAAACTACTTAAAATAAGTTTATTTTGCTTTTCTTATGGTGAGAGTGCACCATGCCTTTTAGGCTTCCAAAGGGATGAATATTCAGGCTGTATTAATGTGAACAGGCAGACTGTCTTGTCAGGTGTTAAAAGAATATCCCAAAACTTGCTGGACTATTACTGTCATGAGATTATTGAGGTTTTGATTCAAGTCTGTTGCAGTGTACATAGCTGCATATGTGTCTTATAAATTTCAAGTGGTAGAAGATTATTTCACATGAGAGCTCTGTGGGGAGAAGGCAACTTCTAGGGAGCTGTGACAGGGTTGTAATTTGAGACTTCTGACAGAACAACTTCTGGTTCCCTTCTAGGTGGAATTTGAAGATGGTTCACAACTGATGGTGAAAAGGGATGATGTATACACTCTTGAAGAGGAGCTTCCTAAGAGAGTGAAGTCAAGGCTGGTAGGTAAACAGGGTGCAAATTCTACTAAAGAAGTAAAATTTAATTTTATGCTTGAGCAGCAACCTGAGCATGTGGCAGCAGCAAAACACAATCTGGTGCTCTCCTTAATCATTGCAAAGCTCAGTAGTTGATCAGGCTACAAAAACTAAGTTCTGTCTCACTCTGGAGAGAATTTCTCCTTCTGCAGGGGTGTGAGTTTGTATCACAGAGTCACAGACTCAGAGAGCATACCTTTTCATACTTGTATTCATAAGTACCATTGCCTTCTTCCATTTCAAAGAATGGTCAAGCTCCTTCACTTACCCTCTGTTCTGAGCAGCTCTTAGTAGGGTTGCATCAAAAGAGCTAGCTGTTTCTTGACATTGTAAAATAATTCAGGTGGGAAGGGACCTCTGCAAGTCTCCAGACACCTGTTCCAAACAGGGTTAGAAAGGGTTGTTCAGGGGTGTCTCCAATTAAGTTTTGATTATCACTAAGGGTGGAGATCCCACACTCTGTTTTACCCCACTGCCTTACACTTCCCACTACAAAAGTTGTAGTTACAAACAGCACACTGGGGTGTCGTGCTTTACAGCACAAACACACACACCCTGATGCAGATCTGTTGGCAGGCACACATACTATTAGAGGCTTAAGAAAGAATGTATTATAGCTGAAATTCTGTGACCAGGTGTTTAAACATGCCTGCTCCATAAAGCAGAAATTGTACTAGATTATTTGAAATTTGGAACAGCTGACTGTTTATTACTCTGAGAAGTGATTGTGAATTTAAATTAAGTACTCTGTTACATTTGAAACTTGAGATTCCTTAGATCTCTAATTACAGTTCACTTAAACCTATCTGCATACTTGTAAATCCAGAATTCTTAAATATTTTTCTTTTTGTGTTTGTTCACCTTTCTTCAAAGACTGACTATTCCCATGTGTCTTGGCTTGGAGGATGTGGAGACAGGGATTTCATCTGTGCTCTAGTGACTAATTCTGTCTTTTTCTCTTAGTCAATCGCTTCAGATATGCGCTTCACAGAGATCTTCGAAGAGAAGGAGGTCAGTCAAGAGAGGAAGAGACAAAGAGTGATCAATTCACGCTACCGTGAAGATTATATTGAACCTGCCTTGTACCGGGCCATCATGGAGTAAACACTGCCTGTGGCAGAGGAAGAAGATGCCCACCTCCCCCAAGGATTTAAATGTTCCAGTACAACAGGCCATATTTGGATGCTTTGAATCCAGGGTTTCTTCTGGGGTTTTGTTCTTTTATATTTTAAGGAAGCTAAAAGGCTGATGCTCTGCAGTAGCTGTAAGGCAGCTGTTGTATAGTGAAAGAGATCCCATTTGCTGAAGCTGATGCCTGCAGACTGCTGGTCTGAAGTTGGGTCCTTACCAAATAAGCCAGCTTGGGGATGTTGCTTTCATCTTGTTGAGCAGTCTTGCTTTTTATTTAGAGACAATTCTGACAGGTGGCAAACTCTTTGGGGAGTTGTTGCCAGGAATCCTGGCAGCTGCAGAATAGTGTGATCTATTGTTTAAACTGAATAATGTTCCTGAAGTCTCCCTGGTGACCACACCTGGGCTTGAGCAGGCAGTATTACTGGTGCTGGAAATGGAACCTCTTTTATATTTATATCAATTTTTTTTTGTCGCAAGCAGCTTCAGTCTCTTGTTTCTCAGCACCTCCTTTCTGAGGTTGAGCTGTAGGCTGTTCAAATCTGAACAGACTGGAGGTGCTTGTGTGAACAGATGAAATGTGAAATTGAATCCTGTAGGACAAATTATTTAACCTTCCATTTAATATTTTTGTTCTGATAGTGCTTTTGACTTACTTAATCATAAGTTTAATTGTTATTAGTATGTGCCTCAGAACCAGTGAAATCTCTCTGGAGCCTTGTGAAGTGCAGCCTTCTAACAAGAATAGGTGTTCAGCTCCCAATAGACATTCAGCTCCCAAAGAGTTTGTTTTGAGTTTCTCTAAGGCAATATGGCTATAAAGGGACAGTCCTAACTCTCCCTTCTTGAGATCCAAGCATCACAGTGTTGGGGATGACAGGGCAGCAGTATCTGAAGCAGTGCTGCTCTGGGGCAGCACTGTCTATCGTGTGTCCACAGGCTTTTGCTTGCAGCAGCTAATACTGGGTCTGAGACAGGTGAAGTGTGCACTGAGCTGTGTGTTCTAACTGAAAGGCTGTGCAATGCTCTTCTGAAGCAGGAGTGCTGCCGTGTTGCTGTCTGGCAAAGGTTACTGTAGCATTTTTATAGAGTATTAGGACACATCTCAGTTGTGGTGGAGAGAATTTGCTACCCCAGCCATAGGAAGCTGAGTTGAGCTGGGTAGTAGGTGTATCTGGAAGATGTGCCAACTTGCTCCTAATAATTTAAGCATTAACACACCACAGTAGGAGCAGTGTAAATACATGTTCCTTTCCCGTTCTGTAGGAAAGGGATTTTAGGCTGTGGAGCAGATTGGCCACCTTCTTTTTGCATGGAATGATGGGGTGGATTTTCCTACTGGAGAAAATCATCATTGTGTGTTCTCCAGAAGCTGTTCAAGAGGAGAATTTTCTAATGAAACAGACCTAATGCATCCCTGCTTCTATAGGGACATGGCAATGTGTCTGCAAAGTCTGGATTTGTAACTTTTTTCCTTTTGTTACATAGGAACGCTATAAACCAAACCCTTCTGAAACCCCGGTGCATCAATTTGTGATTAGCAATAAAATGTAGTATTGAATAGTGATACAACTCTTGATCAGAAAAGAAATAAACTGCAACTTTTATACAGAAAATCTTTAGCCCTACGTTTTTATAGGGTCAGGAGGATAAGTAGAAAAGATTTGCACACTGTTTTGCATGGAGGTAATCTGTCATGTTTTTGTGGTGGAATACCTTGTTCATCAGTATTGGAAGGCTTAAACAGATTCTGAAAGGAGATAATGGCGGGGGAATTGTGGGTTTTTTTGTTTGTTTTAGTTTTTTCCCCTTTTACCATGTCCAAAACTCCTGGTCTCAGGATATTAAATGACTTTTTTGATGAATGGGATAGTTGGCTTGATGAAACCAGGATCTGTTAAGACCTGAGTCTGGCAGCCGCAGTTAATCTGGTCCAGGCAATAGCAATGAAACTGCACTTGGACATCTGAGCTTGTATGTAAGCCTCTGAAGTGATGTGCTGTGAGCAAATGTGAAGAGCTGGCAGGGCCTTAACAAACTTGCCTCTGTTCTGTCAGAGTTAATTTGGTATTAACTTCTCATAGGATGAACACTACCTGTGTGTTACTGAAAAATACACTCCTTGTCTCAATCTGCCACTCTCCCTCTAGAGAAAAGGTGCTTGCATTCAGTCTTTGTCCTCAAACTGCTGTAGAACTTAAATGCACCTTTTAGGTGCCAGATGTTAGACTACCTGTGCTGCAAACACTTGGCTCAACAGCTTCATCCTAAAATGATGACCTAGTAGGAAACAGCTGGATTTGTTTGGTGTGGTGTTCTTGGAGCTGCTCTGTGCAGGGCCAAGAGCTGGATTTTATTGATTTTTGTGTGTCCTTTCCAACTCAGGATATTCTGTTGTTCACCTGCAGCAGGTTTTGCCACTCACCTCTGACAGTATTCAGTGATTTCAGGAGCTCCTGTGCATAGTATTTGTTCTGGAACAGGAGCTTTGTTATCTGTTTCTGGCACATTTTCTGCAGGTGCCAGATTTGTTCTTGTTGACAGTTGCACAGTTGACTGCCCTGTGTTGGAAAGTGCTGCCATCCTGCACTCTGAGACAAAGGGCCTTCCCAATTTTCCTGTCAGTTCTTGTGCTGCATCATTCAAATGTGAGCACACTGTTAACTGCTGCAGGGACTAAACTGTGTTTTAGGCTTCTCTCCAAACTTAAGATCAGTGACCCTGATGTTTGAGTGGTCTTTATTATCTGACTTTGCAAAAGCAATTTGGTTTATGGCTTGAAGCATAACAGAAAACAGTAAAAGTTCTGTACAGAGCAGTTGTCTCAAAAGTACATAGGCTTTCCATTACCAAGACTTTTATCATGTCTGATTATTTTCTTCAGTGGTTTTGGCTTTTTTGGAAGTGTGTTTATCCTTTTTTACAGCATCATTCCAGTGGGGGCGAGGGGCTGCCAGATTATCAGCTAGTCAGGTGTTTCTTGAGTATGTTAAGTACAAAATCATGCTCAGTGTGAGCTCTGGTGGCCCTTTGTTGGGTCCATTGCATGTGGTGCTGCAGTCACTAGACCTCTTCACTTTTCATGGAGCTTCCATCTGTGACTGATTCAGGTTGGACCCACAAGGAGCAATTTCTGTATAAACAAATAGTGGCTTGCCCTTAATTCAGGATGAGCTTCACAAAGCAATGATAACTTTTCATAGGATTTTAAAAGATGATATATTCTTTGTAAAGCACCTGATTGCAGTAATATTTCTGCCTTTGGCTGGACTTCTAGGAGACCTTTTTTCTATCAGCAGACTTCTCAGATGACCAGAGGTAGTACTGTCAGTAGTAGGACCCATTCTTCTTTCTTCTTCTCTCTCTTTATGGTGTTTTTAGCTGGGATGAATTGATTCTGCGCTGTTTGAGGAGCATAGTCACTTATCCTAACAATTCCAATGCATCTCTGTTCTTCCATTCTTTAACCGGGCTCCTTTTGTCTGACATGTCTGCAGTTGTGCTTGTTTTCTAATGAAACATGGGGTGAAATCAAGACTGGTAGCCTGTATATTGTTTTCAGTTTCCTCAAGAAATAAATCTAATTTCTAAAAAGACAATCTGTAAACTAATTTAAGAACTAAAGCAATGGGACTTGGAAATTCTCATCATGCTTTTAATTTTTCTGTTAGCATTACTCTTTGCTAAAGCTCATCTCCTTAATGCTTATCTAGTGAGTTCTCAGGTGTCTTTCAGAGACCTAAGTGGAGTTCTGTTATTTAAGGACTCAGTCTGGCTTGGCTGTTTAGCTAGAACAGAGTTGGGACCACAGAATCATCTCTCCTAATTGAAATACAGAGCTGAGAGATCTGCAGCAAGAACTGAGTTGCCTTAGGTTCCTTTTGTAGCTGAGAGTGCCAGTAGAGGAGTCATCAGAAAATCTTACCTGGGTGCAGTCTCAGACAGCTCTGTTCTTTACTTTGGTGTTGACTCTTGAATTTCACAGTGCTGGTTAAGACATGCTGAACTGGCAGTCAGGGAAAAGAGATTCTTCTACTGTAGCTCAGGGATTTTTGTTACCGATACACCAAGTGTAACAGTAACCTTGAGGAATTTGCTTATTGGGGTGGTATTTCAGCTCATATCTTTGGAACCTAACGTGCCAGGTATTCCTATAGCCAGCTTTTGTAGTTTGGGCAAAATGATAATGGCTCCTTTTCCCTGACAAATTTGTAGCTACTACACAAATCCTATCAGTGTGGGCATTTAGATTAGTGTAAAGTGAGTAGTATTTTCAGCTGAACATGAACAACAATATTGTTGTATTGCTAAAAGTCAAAATAAGCCTTTTTCCTCTTTTCCCATAATCAGTCTTTGTTTTTCTATGTTGCTGTTAGAGCTGTTGAACAGCTGTAGATTTATCCCTTAGATGAATGAAGAGCACAACATTCCAGGTGGCATTTGTTGCTTGGTTCCAGTAATGAGCATAGCTGAGGGTGTGTATCTGCAGTTTCCTTTGGCCTCACAGAATGGTCTCCAGAGAAATGGGAAATATTCATCTGATTGCCCTCTTTTCATGAAGTTGTGGCAGATCCATGCAGAAGCACTGCCACAGCCTCCTTGCTGCAGCATGAGTAATGTGACAATGCCAGCATCAAAACAGTTCTGACAGCACCTAGCAAATGAGGGAAGTTTGTGGGAGGGTACTGGAAAAAGATTTAAATGGTATCGTATGCATGTTAATTTTGAAACAAAACTGAGTGAGGTAGGAGAGCCTGAGAAGAGGTATCTTTGGCCTGGAATTTTGCATTTTGGAAACGTTCTCACTGTTATGAATGGTTCTAGTGGCTGTGAACACCTTCAGTACATGATGCAGGAGAGAAATAAAACAGGCCTGTTGCCTGGGCTCTCCCACCTCCCATGAGTTACTGCCTGGCAGCGTGGGCTCCTCATGCTGCCCCACACCCCAGGAACTGGGATGCTCTCACAGTTATCCACACTGCTGGCTGAAGGAAGAGCTGCCTCCTCACAGGCTGTAGGCAAGGTGGGTGGCTGGTTTTCATATCCAGGCTGAAGTCCTCCATATGGAATTAGGAGCAAGCCTGTCTTTACAGCCCAACAAGTATGCTATAGACCAAAGTAAACTACTTCAAAATGTATAGTGACTTAATCCTACAGTCTTGCTGAATGTAGGGAGGCGTGGCAGTGTGTTGTACCCATGGACCTCCAGGGACTCTTCAGACATGGGGATCAGATGGTTGTGAATGAGCTGATATTAGCTCATATGCTTGGACTCTCATTTCCTCAAGTGCTCCTGCTTCTCTTGAATACAGTATCTTTGCAACTTTTGAGCTAATGTTCTTGCCTATCCTCACAGCAGAGGCTAACTCAAACTTCCTTCCTGATAGCCCCAAGCAATTAAAAAGAAATTACGTCTTGGGTGCAGGATAGTGTGCGTGGACGCCATTAGTGTGGGTGGTGGGTGCTGATGGGCTGCAGGTACAGGTACAGAGGTGCAGTTAACTTGCAGACAGTTCCATGGAAAACAGAGTGATGTGATACAGGAGAGCAAGGAAACTGGTGATGGGGAAGAATGGCTACACCAAAGGGCTGAGCAGCCCATGTGGTTTGGAACTGTGGTTGCCTGTGGTGGATGGCTGCCCAGGCTACTTGGCTCTGCAGCAGGAACACAGCTTTACTTGTTCAGGCCCAGGAGAGCCAGGGCAGGATGAAGAGAGCAGTTGTGTTGGCAGCCAGAGATGGGTCTGTCCTGAGTCCTCTCTGGCCTTCCCAGTTCCAGCTGGATAGATGTTTCCACACACTGTTTAACAGCTGGTGTCCACAGGGACTGGCAGAAGTGTAAATGCTCATATTCTGCCATTCTCTCTTTCAGATGGAGAAGTAGTACAGGGCATCCTGTTTGGACCCTCAGCCATCCACACAGTGGGGCTGGAGCCAACCCTGCTTTTCCTCGCTGGTTGGAGGGTGACTCCTGTGGGAGCAGAGGTCTGCAGTGCTGTCACCAGCAGGGAGACCCCCAGCTTGGGCCCTCAGCACTGTGCAGAGCCTGGCAAGGGGAAAGGACATAAAAAGAGAGCTTGGCTCTTCTCCCTCCCCACTAGAAGCTGGTGAGGGGCTGCCAAGGGCTTTGCAGCAGGGAGAAGAAAGACGGCGTTCATGGGAGCTGCGTGACTCTGAGCTGGTGGGCTGGGAGCCAGGCACGTCAGCACCTGATGGGCCAGCGCAGGAGGAAGGGCTTCCTGCTCCTCACTCCTCACCTTCTCCAGAGGAGCCCTTTCAAGGGGTCCCAGCCCAGTGTAGTGATGTCTCTCCAGCCCAGAACAGGCAGGACAGTGGGGCAGGACTGTTGTCTGTGTGGGGCATTGCACTGGCACAGTGTGCTGGGGAGGTCTTTGCCCAGGAGCCTGGTTTGTTCACTGCTACCCTGGACCATGCTGGCTGAGACAGCTGCCCACAATTCCTCCTGCCTGCCTGTGTCCTCCACCAGATTTGGGGGACCTGGATCAGTCCTTTTGCCATCTTTGCAGACTGCAAAGAAGCAGCCTCCATTTATGCACTGGCTGTGTGGTGGCTGCACAGATCATTCCCAGAGAGAGTGCAGGGCTAGGGCTGTGGGGGCGACCCTGGGGGCTGGACAACCATCACCTCTCACAGAAGATCCCTGCCCCTTCTCCAGGCAGGCTGGAGCCTGCCTAGAAAATCCTTCCTCCAGAAGCCACTGGACAGAGGAGCCCTTGTGCAGCCTTTTTGGAGAGGTGCCTGGTACCTGCTGAGGCAGATTTTCCACTTCCCAGTGAACAGATGCCTGGCTATGGCTGGGCCATATGGTGTTTTGGACTCACAGCTCTCCCAGCACAACCTCTCCTCCAGCCTTACAAGCAGGTGAGATTGCTCAGGGCTCTGATCCCTGGCGACAGCTCCCTGCAGGCTGTGGGAGCTGCCAACAGTCTGGTGCAGGGGGAGGTGTGACAGGTCTGTGCTTGGAGTGTGTGCCTCTGGGAAGTGCCACCCAGTCAGTGTGGCCTTGATGCTGGGTCACTGTTCCTGGAGAGGTTTGGTTGTGTAGGGGGCTTGCCCTGCTAGCCCAGCATCTGAGGAAAGCACACCATGTGATGAGGGTGAGTAAACAGCACTTCTGGTTTGTGGTCAAGGTTGATTGTGACATCCTGTGGACACCTCTGAGGCTGGGATGAAATCAGACTCTGCCTGCCTGCCAAGAGTCTATAGCAGAGCCAGAATCTTTGGATTCACAATCTTAGCTGTAAGCCATTCCTACACGAGCTACTACATCCTTCCTGACTTCTCCAGCAGTCTCTGCTGCTTTTCTCACTCAGGTTTATTGGGTGAGCGATTGCCCGAGGCTCAGCGTCAGCAGTTGTGCTCACTGTCAGGCCATGTGGATTTGAGATGGGAAGGGAGGAGCTGGCAGCTTTGCCCTTTGGCAGCATGTTGCAGGGTATACAGCCAGCCAGCTTCCTTGCCAACCTGTAAGTTTGGCCCCTTGCTCCAGTGCTTCTCTGGCTTGTCCTGTGGGCTGAGGGTTCATCCCACTCATGCTGTAGCTGCTCTGCTAACTTATCCTTCAGCTCCCTGTGCCCTTATGCTTGTACACATGGTGCTGTCAGCTCAGCTGCCTGGGTGCACTTCTGACTCATCATGTGCAGCCTGGGCAGCTCCCCATTTCATTACTGTTAGGAGTTCATGGCAGTGGCCTGTGAAACTCTGTTCCCCTCTTCCCCACCCTGCTCAGTCCCATGCCCCCAGGAGGGACAAAGCCTATGGAACTGTCTGCCTTGACCAGGATATCCCTAGCAGAGATGCTGTGCCTGTCTGGGATGTTCTGTGTCGTGGTCTGTCCCTGGCACCTCTCTCCTGTGGAGATTTCTGCAGCACAGCACAGGATCCCAAGATCCTGTGCCAGTGCAGGGCAGAGGAGCTGGTGCTTCCCCAGCCCTTCTGGCAGGGACCAGCCATTTCCATCTGCATAATGGAGACTGTAGCACAACCACCATCAACCCACTCTGAGATATTTTTAGGCCTGGCTGTGCTGATGAGGGAGAGATGACAGGCTCACTCCACATCCAGACCATGCAATGCCTCTCCCAGCTGCAGCCACCTGGTGCAATGGGAGAAGTGTGGGCTGTTCCCCCAGAGAAGGCAGCACTTACTGGGTGCTGTGGCTCTGGGCTTGCTGGGAGCAGCTACTGGTGCTGGATACCACCATCCTTCTCCCTCTGAACTTGTTCAGCTTCTCTGCTTCTGAGAAAGCAGCTTAATGAATTCCCCAGGCCTCACTGGCTCTTGACATTAAGGGTATTTGCTGGCTTGTGAAGGAAAAGGAAGGACGAAGCTGTGGGACTGAAGCATGGCAGTGACACACTTGCACACAGTCACTTGCTGTCACAGAATTGGGGAGCCATTTCAGCTGAGGAATTTGGCTTTTCTGCAGGGCCTGAGGCTTGCTGGAAAGTTCTATGGAAGAGGATATCAAGGCTTCCGCTTTTCATCAGAGCCCTGTGTGGGGCTGCAACTGCTGGAGTGGGAGGAGCAGTAGTTTGGAGGTGACTGGGGTGAGTTGATGGAGGACAGAGATCTGGGGCACAAGGCTGTCTCCTGTGGCCAGGCTTGTCTGAAGCTGGTCCCTCAGCACTGCTGGGGAGGCCTTGCATGAAACAGGTCCCCAATGCCCTGGACACACACAATGACACAGTGCTGTTGGGCGGTGACATTGCCAAGCCATGACTGTGTTGTGGGTGCTGGCAGAGGGGAGAACTGTCCTGCACAGGGTCTGTGGCTGGGTTAGAGGGGAGCTAGGCTGGACTGGAGCAGGCTGCTCTACCCAGCTTCACACCAGGGCTCAAATGCCAACCTGGGTACGTTGTAGGTGCTGGACTCTGAACACAAGACTTTTCTGGGTGACTGCAGAAAGCAGTGGTGCTAATCTTCCCCATCCACAGGAACCAGTCTGTCACTGGTACCAACACCTCACTGTGTTTGTCTTACCCAATCCCTTCATTGGAAGGACCAGTTCAGCTGCAGCTGCAAACCTCCCTCAACTGGCTACTGAGACCTGGAAAGCTCCAGCCCTGAGCAGCTGCTTCTGCCTGACCCTGTGGATCTGCCAGCATCCCCCAGCCTAGCTTTGGCTCAGGTGATGGCTGCAGAAAGTTTATATTCCCTTGGCTGTGGCACAGGAAGTTGGTTCCCATGGAGCAGGGTAGAGAAGCTTTGTTGGAGAGGCAGACCTTTGTCCCCACCTTCTTGTGGCTGGGTGGGATGGGCTGCAGCTGAAAACAAGGACTGCTGGCCTGGCTGGTCCCCCATGACTGCTGGGGCAGAGGCAGAGTTCTCCATTGGCTGGCAGCTCTGTGCATTCACTGTTTAGGATCCCACTTACTACACGAGGATCCAGTGTTCCCTTAGTCCTGTTCTCACTCATACCAACATAGACTTGTGTGACTTCGAGTGACGTACTCAGGGGGTTGAGGTGTTTTGGCAGCACCTTTCTGCCTGTGTCCCCTGCCTGTGGCTGGCAGCTGCCTCTTCATGGCTGCTCTTCATTAGCCCACATCCTGGCAGCAAACAGAGCACCCAGAGGCATTTCCCCCTGGCTGCTCTAACTCCCTGTTATGAAAAGCAGCTGCAAGAATGCACAGGTTGTCTGAATCTCCCAAACCAAGCATGTTCATGTCCTGCAGCAGAGCACAAACCCTTGGCTACATCCTGCAGCACAGGAGTCAGGGCAGTGCAAACTGAGCCCTCAGCCCCTGCACCCTCTCACACAGCTCCTAATGGCCCATGCCATGCTTCTCTCCTTTCTTCCTTTTCCCAGGAGAGACCAGATAAGCCTCAGCACCCAGGAGTGGGGAAGAAAGGCACTGGGACATGGCAGGGCTACCTCAGCTGGCAGCTATCCTGCCAACCCAGTGCCCCAGGCCAGGCAGCTGTTCTCATGACCAACAGAGAAGTACCTCCACCAGCAGCACCAGCACTTCCTTCCACCACCTTCCCAGTGGCTGACAGTATTTGAGGTGGTTGGTGCTTTCCCTTCCTCCTCCCTCTCCTTGCCCTTGCTACTTCCCATCTCCTTGACCCTTTTCCTGAGCATCATGCTTGCCCTGGTCTCAGATGTGTGGGAGGTGGGATGCTTCAAGAGCATCTCTCTGGGCTCATGGCCCTGCACCCCAGCAGGTGTTGATATCCCTTGGTACATGACAGGGTTTTCAGAGGGGCAGTCACCCACAGGGGTGCAGCCTGTGGCTCTGCAGACAGGACTTGCCCTGCAAGTTGCTTGCCAAAGGCAGCATTGCTGATCATTTCCTTTGGGCACCTGGGGAGGAGATCAGAGTGACCCAAATGGGGAAGGTTTGTAAACCTGAAGTGGACACTGACTCAGGCACTTGTGCTGCTGTGCTTATGCTGTGGGTTTTGGCACCAGCTCACTTGGGCATGTATGGGAGAGACAGGTATGAGTAACAGAGTTGGTTGCTGTGCTGTATGAAAGTTGCTGGTGCATTACTTGGGTTCAGAGGCTCCAGTTCACTCACCATGGAGCAATGGAGAGGAGGTTCAGGCTGAACAGGATGAAAAGAGGAGCCCATGGCTAGTGGCCCCATCACCATAGCAGGCCAGCTGAAGGTACACAAGGGGTTGCTCCAGTGCAAGTAATTAAGTACTAAAGCTCCAGGCTGGAAATTACGCATTCCCTGGGTCAAGGGCTGGCAATGAACAGTGCTGCAGGTAGTGTAATGCCACAGAGCCAGCTCAGGCTGTTGTACCTGTTTTTAGAAAAACATGTGCATGAGCTGGAATAGCAGGTGAACAAGATTGTCCTCAGGCAGAGCCCTCCACACCTTCTCCACTGCCTTCTCTGGCTTGCAGGAATCAGTCCTGGCCTCCTTTTTGCTGCTGGAGCTGTTTGGACAGGAGATCAGGTGGGGTGCTTACAGGTCAGGGCAAAACAGCAAGCATGTCCATGCAGCATCTCTTCTTCATGCCTGAGCCACTAATGTCAAAAAATTTAAGTTGAGACCTTAAACTTGTTGAGATCTAGTTGAGATCTAAACTTATTTTGCAAGCTGCTTCATGGTAGGGATGGCTGCCCCTGCAACCTTCAGTGACCATGCTTAATTCCAGGCTTCAGTTTTTCTCATCTTCAACTTCTCACCTTTGGCTTCTGCCCTTCCTTCTGCCCATAACAGTACTCTGCTCCTTCTGGCAGTGAGGAGACCTCCTGAGGCAATGAAGTACCTTGTCCTCCTCACACCCTATGCAGCCTTATTTGTCACATTTCCAACTCTTAGCTCCTTTCTTGTGGTGGTGTTGCTGCTCCTTGGGATTTCTGTGCCTGTTCTGAAGTTTGGATAGCTGGACCAGACATCAAGTTGGCTTTGCCAGAGCTGTAGCTCTGCTTGGAAATCCTCTCCATGTCCCTCTGACTCACGGCCCTCAGAGCCAAGGTACTGTGCTGCAGGCTCACGGCAACAGTCATGTGTGGGGACTGCTCTTTTGCAGCCTTTTTCCTTAATTTCACCTCCCAGCCTCACTTTCAGGGAGATTCTCCATCCTGTGGTACAGCCTGTCTTCTCCATTCCCAAGAACCTTTCTTTGCAGCCCATCACTGGGCTGGGGGCTGTTATAATTTTCCCAGGCCATTCAGCTCATGCTGTAGCAACAAGCAGCGTTCAGTGTTTTATCAGCCCCAAATGTAAGCCTTCATCTTGTTATCCAGATTATTGATATTAAGACCTATTAAATGGCACTGGACCAGGGGTCACTGGGGGTCTAGGTAGGCTTTCTGTTGTTGATGTCTCCCCATTAAGCCTTGGCTCACTGACAGATCTCAGAATGCAGCTGTTAATACATGTAGTTGTTAATCTACTTGAGTCTTATTAATTCTTTATAATACATACTTTTAATTAAAATCCTGCAGCATTATTGAAAGCAGTGGAGAAGGCAAAGTGTTCTCTATAAATGCTCCTACTCTCAGCACCCAGAACTTTCCTTTTGCCCAGGAAGGATTTTCCCTGTGTAACAACCTCAGGATGCCTTTAGCTGTGCTTTCACCTACAGTCTGGGGCTCTCTGCCATTTCTCTGCCCATTGCTTTGACCCTTTAGGTTATGCTGGCCTCCTACCAGCTGACCATTCATTAAAAATTAACACGTGTTTGGGAGACTCTGTGATTAAATCATCAAATTGTTTGCAAATTACTTGGGCCTGTAGCATGAGTGTGGCTGGTTTGGGGAGCTGCAGCCTCTTCTTGTGCTACTGCTTTGCTGAATATCCTCCTCTCTGTGACAGCATGTGAGATGGAATCACTCCTGCCGTTCCCATTTGAGAGGAGGCAGTGGCTGGATGGTGCCTGCCTGCCTCACCTGACTCTTCCAGCTGTTTTTATGGTATGAAAGGGGATGGGGTAATGCCTGTCTGGAGAGCTCAAGATGAAGCCATTGAGGTTCACAGCCATCACAGTTCTAAGCGTCTCAGAAATTCAAGTTTATTCAGCAATCATCTCAGAAATTCAAAGACAGCACTTCTGGCTTCAGAGAGGCAGCATGGCCACAGCTGGAGCTGGGTTCATTCAAGGTTCCTGCAGCACTGGCATGAAGAAATGCACTGTGATACCAGTGCTGGCACCTGGGCTGAGCAAGACTCCCTGTTTCACTCCCAGATCTCAGGTAGGCTTCACTGGGGAGACTGCTGGTAGGGGGGGGAGGTTATTTTACCTGGTTTCTTAAGGAGAAGAATTAAAGAGGAAACCTTCACCTAGCCTATTATTTTTAGGAGGCTGTGTTCATGGTGTGCAGCCTGGTAACTAGTCAGTGCACAGATTCTACAGTGACCATTGTCACTCTGGACAGAATGGGTAAAATATTAACAGGCATTGCAAAATACTTCCCAGACAGTCAAACCAGCCTGCATGCCAGCAGGCACTGCTTGGTTCTGTGCTCTCCTCTCTTGCATGGTGCAGTAACCTACTGAGGGCAAGACATTTGCTCCTGGACAACTCACCAGGGCTTAGCAAATCTTCCTAAGGCCAAGCTCAGCTCAGCTAAGCACCCCCAACCATGACATCCATGATTCTAGGACAAGGGAGCAAGTGAGGGAGGTGTGTGGGAGTGGAGGTGTCTCCAACGAGCAAACTCCATTCCTCAGTTCCTGGATGTGCAGCTGAGATACAGGTGGTCCTAACCTGCCAGCAGGGGGTCCGGAAAAGATTGGAGACAATCCTGCCTGAATCCTTATCCTGATGCTGTGGTAGAAAGGACTAATGCAGCTCTTTAAGTCAGAAAATAGGAAAAGCAGATTAAATCCCTGTGTCAAAGCATTAGGGAGGCTCATTGTGGGATTCTATATCTTGAAAAGGATTCAGGAAAATCAGAGAGGCTCTATAGAGCAGAAACACAAAAATTGGCTTGAGGGTGGGAGGAAAAGCCTGGCAGAAAGAGAATTAAGCGAGTCAGTATATTTAGCTTTTCTGAGAGGGGGTTTGCCTGCAGCATATGTGTAGTGTCACAAAGAGAAAATGCCAGGCTCTGAAAGGCTCTTTAATCAAGCAGAAGGCAGAATAAAATGGTATGTCTGCAAGCTGAAGCCAGACACAGAGAGGTGGGATTCTCTTCTGAACGTGAGGGTGAGGGACTCCTGAAACAGACCCAGAAAAGTGGGAGTCTTCAATGATTGTCTTCAATTCAAGCCTACCTCCTCTCTTGGAAACTATGAGTGAACCAAACATAGTGTATTGGAATTACTGCAAGGAGATGAACTGCTGAGCAGGGTGCTGGCCAGGGGCTTGCACTTGCATGACTGCCTGCCAGGTGGGACCATTGGGTCACATCCTCTGAGGAAGATCCTTGGAAAGCTGCTCCACTCAGGCAGAGTACTTGGGGAGGAAATCAGGCAGGCTCCAGATGTTTACCTGCTCCCAAAGTGGTAAGTGTGATTCTTTGCTGTTGAAAACATCTGGAGGGTGGCAGAATTTTTGAGCCAAGTTCAGATTGTTTTAACTTGTTTTGTGTGGGCCTGGTGCTGATGCTGTTTAACATTTCTGTTCTTAGAGTAGCCAGAGCATCAGATATGTAAAGTGTTCTCCACAGTCTGATCATGTTCAGAGTCTGCATTTAAGAATAATACATAATGAGTATGTGAGATGAAACAAGTTTGGTCAGAGAGATAAGACAAACTACAAGTGTCTTATAGTCCAGATTGCATTCCTTGAGCCTATGCATCAGCAGAGGTAATCTCTGTCTAGCCATTACTGAAAGAGATCTTTGCTGTGGTATAGAGTGGTATGTAATTAATCATAAAATATTGCATTAATTAGTATTGGATCTGATTTGATGACATTTAATTTGGGGAGAAGGATTACAGTGTGAGTATTAGAATAGTAATTTTTATAGGGTAAAGAAACAAAATGAGATTAGAAGTCTCTATGAAGGAAGCCTGGAGGCTGATGTGTATATTTGGCATCTGATGCAGATAGTTACAGCCTAACTTAATTTACTGGTGGGAAAAGATGCTGCTCAGCATCTCCTCATGCACATGAGGGGAATTTGCAGAGCAATTCTGGCATGCCTCAGGTGGACTCCTTTCAAAAGAAGGGCTGAAGGAAGCTTTGCTTATGGTCATGGTGGTGTGACCAAGTCATGCTGAGTCCAACATGAGTGTCTCTGCAGCACTGATGCAGGGACACAGGGGTAGGACCCCTCACTGCCTGCTCCAAGCAGTGACCAGCCCTAACTGTTTTATGCTACCTGCTAATGCAGCCACCAGCTGTGCCCTCTGCCAGAGCCCTTTTTCTCCAGATCATGGCCAGTGCTGCTGTAGGAAATTCTCTGCAGACATGGGTAGCTACAGGTTCAACTGGTTTGCTGCAAGTGGGTTTTGTTGAGCAGGATGGGCTAGATCACTTGCCTGATCATTTGGTCAGTTTGGCTTTAAAAAGCTCCAGAGCATTCTGGAAAGCAGCACAGCAATATGATAGGATTTAATCAGACTTAATTATTCCCCTGCTGTCTATCTCCTAGCAACATCCAGCTTGACATCTGCCTGCGAATGAAATGTGTAAGCTAAGTAGGAACATGTTCAGACTAAAGTCCTGCTACTTGAACCAAATCACGCCACTAATCATTGCCTTAATTCATCTCATGGCCATCAAACAGCTGCCAGGCGCTCGTACCTGATTTTCCAAGATGCACAGCGGTCGCTCGCTTTCCGAGTTTTTTCCAGGCTGGCAAGGAGGGTGACTTCATCCCGGGCTCTTTGCAGCACACTGACACCTGATAACGGGGTTAGAGTTTCCTGAGTGACAAACAGGGCTTAGGGGCAAGCCCCAGACTTGTCGCTCTTTGGCTTCGTGCTGTAGGTCCCCGCTTATCTCATCAGTGAAATCAGATCACCTGCTGTGCCCACACACCGCGGGGTTCAAATGCGGTACGGGGGCGGTTTAGGTGAAGCTTGAGGACAGCTGGAGCAGATGTGGCGCAGTGGCAGCAGGCAGTGCAGCAGCTCCGTGTCACAGGGACAAGGGCGGTTGAGGCAGGGAGATGAGAGCCAGCTTACGCAGATGGAGGGATGAAGAGGGGAAGAGAGGAGCAGGCATAAAGCAAGCGTTTGTGAAGCAAAACTGGGCTCCAGCCAGACATGATGTGGCACAGGAGTCGGTGGAGCTGCTGGAAGAAATGAGCCCGGCAGCAGAGCTGGGGCCATAGGAGGAGGCTGCCTGCACCAGCCCTGGCTGCCAGCTCGCCTTGAAGCTGGAGGGAAGGGAGCTGCCTCAGAGCAACGAGCATCCTGAGCAGGTCAGCCCTTCGAACTGGGGGTTGATGGGCCAGTAGCTTGGGGGCAGATCGACAGATAGACAGGGCTGCATGAATGTGGTCGTGTCCCCTCTCCACCTGCCTCCTCACCAGATACCTCCTCACCACATACCTCCTCATGGGGATATTGGTGTCAGTGATACCTGGGTGCTTGCATGAGCCTGTTGGTCTCCTCTGCTGTCTCTAGAAATTATTGTTGGCATAAAAAAAAAACCTAATGGTGTATCAGTGTGACATGTGTCTCCCTTGTGTCTCTGTAGAGGAGAGTGGTAGCTCTGGAAGCCTGGCTGCATGAGTGCCACACTAGCAACCAACTTGTACCGACTTCATTTGTGCAGAGCACAAAGTGGGGTTTCTGGCTCTGAAAATGGGGCTGCAGGAGCCCCCACCAGCTCTCCCTGTGACCAGCAGGAACTTGGTCTTTTGTCAATTCCCTTTGTCAACAGAGCTCAGCCAGCTCTGCGCTGTTCAAGGCAGTGTCTGCCATTCAACATCAGCACCTCTGCTCACCTCAGTGGGAGCTGCCACCATGCCGGACATGATCTTACTAGGATTCCCCTAAAATCACCTTTTGTTTTTCTTCTGTTACCAGTGACAAATGGAGGGTCACTGGGCTGGTCACTAAAGATGCAGGTTTATTCCTCACCGTTTCTTTCCTTTCAGATGACTTTCCCCTTCACGACTAATAATTTCCCTTTGTCATTCTATTCCTGAGAGGTGTCATTTTGGAATTTATCACTTGCCCTCTGCCTAAGGACCATTAGATGGTTGTGGGACCAGCAAGAACGAGGCAATGCTGTGGGAAGGTTGCGTTGCAGGCTGTTCCCAGTGCTGCTGTGCTCACAGGGCAGCTGTGCAGTGAGAAGGTGGAGACTGTCACACACCGGGAAGCGGTGGAAGCCGCACTGTGTGCGTGGCATGAGCTGTGCTGTGGAAGGGCAGCTGAGGGGGTCCGTGCCACCCGGCCTAGTGTGCTCCAGTGGCGGAGGCTCTGCCACAGCGGGGAGGTGGCGCAGAGCCGTGCAGGGGCTGGGCAGCACCTTGCTGGGTGTGCAGTGCGGGGAGGGTTTGCAGGA